TCTTTGTATTTTTTTTTTTAATTTTTTTTACAGCAAAAATATTGTGTTTCACTTGTCAGCAAGCGGCCGCTTGAGTTTGAAGAATTAGTAATATTTACAAATATCAGGTATGAATGAAGAGCATATACTTGCTATATACTGTATACATACATATGTATCTTCGTAAATGTATTAATGTGTTTTTGTATTTATATATTTGATGTACGTTTGTACGCTCATTCACGCGCTTGTCCATATGTAATGCCTTGGCCAGCCTTAATGAATGCCACATAGTTTCCTTTACGCCAAACTATTCTACACTTTAAGCGCAATAAGCAACATTTTTAATTAGCTACCATATAGTACCATTTTACGATTGCACAAGTTGTACTACGAAAAAGAAGCAAAACAATAACAACAAATTGAAAAAATAATGAATGTAACACGGAAATTCGAGTTATTTACTGAAGCGTGATCCACGTTGCTTGTTATTATCTTTGCTGTTGTTGTTGTCGCTGGTGGTGGTGTTATTGGGTTTTTGAGCGTGTATATCAAGGGGGGCGTCTACCACAGCCATACATGTGCAGAAATATGTACATATGTATGTATGTGTATACATGATGATGGGCAATAATTTTTATGCGTTCAACACTTTGGAGGCACACAATATGATAATAAATACACTTTACACGTTCACTTATCTATCAGACACACATATATACATATTTACTTATGTACGTGCATAACACGCTGCTCACTGCTTGCCATAAAGTGTTAAAAAATATATTTAAAAAAAAAATGCTTAAAAAACTGCTCRAACACTCACGACACCGAACTGGTTCAAAAAAGAAACAAAAATCATACAAATAATAACAAACTAACGAAATAACTGTGACATTTGTTGCTTATTATTTTTAATTTTTTTTTATTTCAATAAAACAGTTAAAATTTCAGCTGTTTACATTCAAATTGTTGAAGACCGAATTGYGCTAAGAACGCTTGAAAACTTGAAAAGTTGCTTTGAGCCGAGCGCTGACTATAATACGAGTAACAACTAAGCTGGGCAGCGTTTAGTGGCCCTCAACGTCGCACGTTTGCCCAGACTAGCAATACSCGCTGATCTCGTAGTCCCAATGAGCGTTATGACGTCGTGGTATTGGTGCGCAGCGGCAGGCAAACAGCAGAGCGTAGTCACACACACACAACACATATACATACACATACATATTTGGTGTGTATATGCCGTGCATAAGCGTGTTTACAGACGTAACGTAGCACGTAAGCAATGTAACGTAAGCGCTACGTTACTCTCTTTGAAACTTGTGTATGTATGTGTGTGCGCTTAAGCGCGCGTTAGTTGGGTTTTTAACATGTGTATGCGCGCAGCAATTGCCTGTGTGTGTGTGCGTGACTATATACGTGCATGTGTGTGTGAAGAAACCAGTCTTCGCTTGGCATTGTTGCAGAACTACAAACATGAATCGCCTGAATTACAGGTAAAATATCAAGAAAAGTTCACCCTTTACACTGCGGCCAGCCGCGCGTTTGCATGCGCGGCTAACG